AGTGACTGGCGGATCAAGCCTCATCCATGCTGGTGATTAGCAAGCAGATAAATCCTACTACGATTAGCAAGGATGACGCCAATGAATGGCTTAATGTAGTCTCTCGCAAAAAGTGAGATAAGGATAACACATTGGCTAGGCCACCCACGAAGGACAGAAACACACTTACGCCGCAGGGTAAGAAAGTCACAGCGAGCAAACTTGATCTCTCTGAAAGGTCTCTCATTCTCCACAAAGTGGAAGGGTCACTGGTCCCCGATCCCAAGGCCAGATTCGAGCATGACCTTAACTTGGTTAAGCCCCTTTTAAACAAGCTACTGCCACAAACAGTATTGGGCGTTACCATACAAAGCGTATATAGAATAGGCCAAAGGCCTGACCCGACGTTGTGCAGGACAAGCTTTCATTGCACAGGGTGTAACTTGCATTCTGCAGTCTACAGGTGAGAAACTTCATTACTTTGCACTTTTTCAGGTTGAAAGTCATGCCACTGGCCACCGCCCAGTCTTCCAGAAGGTTTAGATCTTCCTTCAGCCTATCTGAGTCCTCCGGACACTTTATCGCCCTCCATGATTTTACGTCGTCAGCGTATAGGAGAGTCGGGCAGCTTAGACGGCGCGGTAGATCATTGGTAAAAATCAAAAACATCAGTGGTCCTAGGATAGAACCCTGCGACACTCCTGATGACGATCTGTGCCAAGATGACCGGACTCGGTTAACCTTAGCGCAAAATTGACCGTCGGCTAGGTAGTCCTTTAACCATGACAGAAGTGGCTCACCTATACCTGCCTGGCTTATTTTATGTAGGAGAAGGTCATGGTGAACAGTGTCAAATGCCTTCTCAAAGTCTAGGAAGACCACATGGGCTGGTACATTCACATCCCAGCATGATGTCCAGTCGTCCCAAGCTGACAGTAGGTTAGAAACGCAGGATCTGCCTTTTCTGACACCATGTTGGGCTTCATGTAGTATATTAGTCCTATCGAAATATTCCCTGATGTGGTTGTCAATAATACTTTCCAGTACTTTTGATACCACTGGGAGTAGAGCTACTGGTCTATAACTAGTGGCGTTTTGCCTGTCCCCACCTTTGAAGATTGGAGAAAGGATGGCTCTTTCCACTCCCTTGGCAGTGCCCCCGAATCCATTGAGTGCTGGAACAAGTCACACAGGGGTCTACAGAGAGCTTCGGTGCACTGTTTCAGTACAGATGGCCTGATGTCGTCACAACCTGGGGACTTCCCAGGTATGAGTCGCTGTAGCTTCCTTAGTACTATTGCGGGGTTTATTCAAGGAGTAGCCACTAGGTCTTCCTCCTGTGAAATAGTGGTGCCACCATTTTGGTCCGTAACTGTAATATCCACATTGCTGTTTGGTGAAGGCTGAACCGAATGTTTCAGCCATCTCCAGACTTGTGAGATATTGACCGTTTGGGCCTACTAAGGCGCATGCCCCATGGTTTGTCGGTTTTCTTTCCGACATAAATCGGTACAAGTTTTTAGGGTTTGCTAGGAGTTTTTTAGCAAGGTTAGCGTGGAATGACTTCCTGTCCCTCCTGACTCTTGCATTGCACCCGTTCCTGAGTTCGAGGTATGCATCGTGGTCGGTCTGACTCTTAGATACACGCCACGTAAACCAAGCCTTCCGCTTTGCCTGCAGAATACGTTGCATGCCTCTCTTCAACCATGACGTCTTTCTTTTGGGCTGTGTTGTGACTAAAGGGACGGTATCCGAGATTGCTGTATGGATAATCCTTTTTACCACTTCCCAGTGTTCATCCACAGATAGGTCATCCCATGCTAAGGGCCAGTCTGCGTCAGACAAGAGCCTCCGCATTTCAGCATAGTCAGCCTTGCTGTAACACAGACATGGTCGCGTAACATCCCACTGCAAACGCTCACGGAGAACAAGATCGAAACCTATGACTGCATGGTCACTACTTCCCAGAGGAGTCATGATCTGGACCTTTTCGACGAGTAGTTGGTCACTAGTTAGAATATAGTCTAGTTTCGATGACTTTCCACTAGGGCCCCACCTAGTGTCGTCTCCAACATTCTCAGTCAGTCCCGTGTTTCGAATAGTTTGCAGTAGGTTTCTGCCAAATTTTCCCTTAGCACACCCCGAGCCAAGGTCAGTGATGGGGCATTGAAATCTCCAGCTATGGTGATTTGGTCGTAGCCCAAATCTCGTATCCCTGTGATAGTGCTAAGCAGTAGCTTATTGTGCTCTGCCCCACAGGTGGGAGATCGGTGTGGCCTACGGTGAAATGACACTATATGGAGTCTGGGAGTTCACTAAGTGGTGGGTCCGTTGCGCACACACATTTAAGTTGCCTATCAAAGTATATAGCAACTCCCCCTCCTTCCTCATTATCCCTGTCTCTCCTGACCAGAACCATATCACCTATACTGATTTCATTGTCGGCGATAGTGGGGTTTAGCCACGTTTCAGTGAGAATGATCATTTTCAGTTGAAGGCGTGCTTGGAGATTTCGGAGTTCACCTACTTTTCCTCTCAGCCCCCTCACATTGCTATATAGGCAACCGACAGTGAGTCTAACAACCTCAGAGTGTTGTGGGGTAGTTGACGTGAAACTGTCTGCTGGTGGGGGACTTGATGTTGGAAATAGTTGGCCGATTCCGATAGAACCGACCCGTTGTAGCTTTTTCAATGGATTTAGGCAGGACACTTGGGTGACACAGACTGTCATTCTCAGAACTGCATCGCTCTAGTGTCACTGAAGCTTGGGGACGTATTAAAGCCTCAGTTTGCTGCCTCCTTATATTTCTGGGTCTGCTTTCGCAGCATCGGATGTGTCCTCCTATTTTTCCCTTCGTCTCATACCATCGTTGAAGTGATATGGACAACTGCTCCGGGGAGTTCAATGTGACACTTAGCAGCTTTGGAGAGTTAATCAGTGTAAGATGAGCGGGGCGAGGTAGTCGGAAAATGGAGATGGCTCCAGAAGCGCCAGGGGCCATCTGAGATGACAGCCATCTCCATTGCTGTACGTCGTGCATGTGTTTTTCACAAGCAGTGCCGGTTTCCAGCTCCGGAACACCGTGTACCACCATAGAGGTGGAAGGCATCAGTTCCGGTGACTCCCTCGCCATATGTCTGATAGCCCATGGTCTATAGTGTCTCACGCTAATGTTAGAACTTCTGTCCAGGGCTAGTACCTGAGCCATTAATAGTACTTTTTCGGCCTCTTCGGCAGTGTCCAGTGTAACGCGTAATGGGGGTGGCTTACCCTGAGGCGTGTGGACACTCCTGTACAGTCTGCACAATTTTGCTGAACTAATGTTCAGACCTAGTTTATTACACAGGTTGGACCACTGTTCCTGATCAAACAGGGACAGTTGTTCGAGCAAGCTATCCTTGCTCACAGGTACGTTAAAGAGGATGAGAGAGTTGGACCGACTAACCTCAGACCTAGGTTTGGCCTTCGGCTTCTTGCAGTCCTTTGCATCATCAGCAACATTAGGCTTCATCGGTATCTGGCCAGTCTTTGTTGTGTTGCCAGGCTTGCTAGTGGATGCAAGTGGTGCTTTTGTAATTTTGCCTTCCCCTGATGTGGATGCAACCTTGCGAATCTTCACCTTGTGAAAATTGGCATTTCCAGTCAGTAGGACTGGTGTGTCCCCCTTAATATCTTTGCCAAGTTTTGGCAGTGTGATGTTAGCAGGGGGGAGCTGCATGAGACTGTGTTGGGACACAGGAGTGTTGTTTCTGCTATCCGCAGACACGCTTTGTGGGACTATGCCAGGGCGACAAAGTGGGCAAATGTACCATAACCATGGGCATGGGTTATTTCTCATAAACTCATAGTATGCTTTCGGTACCTCTTTGTCACAACGGCAGTGCGCCCACCGTTTGCAAAAATTGCATTCAAACGCTGAATCAGTTTTAGAAACTATGATACTGCACGCCTGACATTCATCTCCTTTCCTTGATGACGCCTTCGAGGTCTTATGACGTCTTGAACGTCTCCTCTTAGGTTTGCTGTGCTTCACACTCTGGCCTACAGTTGATGCAGGTGTAGAATCTTGTCCTTCTGGTATTGCCTGTACCGTTTCAGCACTACACTGTGACAATGCAGGCGTAGTATCAAGACAGACAGAAGCCACACGAATCTTTAGGATAGGTATGCGGGAAGGGGTTGAAGTCCCTGGGTTTCTTCCTTCTCTGGCTGAAGCCCTTGTGACTACAGAGTACGGTGTTTTAGTGGCTTTTCTAAGGCTTCTTTCGACAACCATATTAACAATCACTATAAATTATGCTATATACGACTAAGAGACAAACAGTATCTATCCAAAAGAACAAGAATAAGACTGAAAAAGTACAAGGCAAGGAAAAGAAAAGGTTTTCGACTTTACCTAGTACTTTCTGGATGATCGGCTTCACAGCAATGACTTGGCAGACCAACAAGTCTTGTTTATCTGAACGAGTGAGGAAGATGCTGCTACAAAAGTAGCACCTGAAGCTTTGGCAGTAGTTTGAGAAAGCTGGACTTACCACACAGAGATTTATTATGTAAGTAATGGTTGAATTTAATTCACCGGCTAGGAAGATCAGGTTTCCCAGACGGATTATTCACAAAATTGGTATTTTCCGGTTAGAGAGGAAAAAGCACGTCGTATTCGAGTCATAAACTCTTGGAACCGACTCCCAGAAGAAGTAGTGTCTGCAATCTCAACTGATTCATTCAAGAAGGGTTTGGACAACCTCAGAAATCTACTAGAAAAGGATTAACACAGGCTCAAAGCTTTCTGTCCTCAACCAATAAATCTGAATCTGAACAGAAATGAGTACTGGACAACAGGTGATCGGGAAATCTAGTACAGGTTTCTGCCAAGCTGCGAAGAGATCTGTCGAAAGACAGCCGCCAAAATGTACGCAAAGCAAACTGGTTATGCCAAAGGAATTTACAAGAATGTCAAATAGTTTTAATATTTGACCACAACTGTATCATTTGGGCACGAATTTATATGTTCAAGGTCACATCTGAAAGTGTGTGAATTTTCGTGAGTCAGTGAATGTTCATAACTGTCTATGTTTTACTTTCAAAAAATAACACATTGATGATAATCACTCAACAGTTGCTTAAAAATCGCTGACTGATCTATAAATATTACGTGAAAAAAGACGGAATCTGGGGGAGTATAAACACCCAGCTAGCATTTCCTTCGGGCGCATTGCAGACTTTTTGGGGCAAAAAAACTTCGGGTAAATCTACTTACGTGGGACAATGTCTTGAAGTCTGCCCCGAAAAGTCTGCAATTCGCCCAAAGTTTGCCACAAAATGTCTGCGATGCGCCCGAAAAAAAACGCTAGCTGGGATGCAGTGATGTTTTTCCTTTAATGAGAAGGATCTCACCGAAGATCTGGAACCTCTACCTCACAATCAAGAAGCGAGCTCAAAGAAATCACTGGTTTATACTAGCTCGTAATCAGGATATTGGATATTGGAAGTCCACCTGGCGTTTCTCAACGTTGGTTTCTAGAACCCTGAAAATAGTGTCAGGCAAGAATTAACTAAACTTTTTTCATCTAGTAAATAAACAATTTCCTCCATCCATCCTTATATACCCTCAAGTTTTACTTTTATTATTTCTATTATATTTATGGTCCTGTTACTTCTCTGTTTTACTCTCATAATTGCAAACACCAACTTATCTCCATGACAGCTGTAATCTTTGTTTTTCCCCTCACCATATCATGTAAAGAGAACATTATACTCAATATTTTTAAACATGCTAGGATTTCTATACCACATTTACAATACTGTGTGGCACAAGCCAACGGCAATTTTCACTTGTATTCTTATTATTATTACCCTAGCTGTTATCATTATTACTGTTATTTCCATTTTATATGCTGCATGTTTTTGACACTACCTCTATTGTAAATGTGGAAAATTTTCTGTGTGATTAATTTTTATTTATAATTTGAGGAAATTAGATGCAATATTGTGATTAATGGTGAAAATTCCATTCTGTATCACAAGTACTGTTTTTGGGATAAAGTAAATCATTATTATTATTATTATTATTATTAGTAGTAGTAGAACGAAGAGGCCCGGTCCGAGAATGCACACAGGTTAAGTGGGGAGAATTCTGGTGAAATAGGCGGTTTCATTGGATGATGATGTAGGCTAAAAGTGACTAAACGAAATACGAAACACTATTTTCCCCACTTTGCCAACCATTTTTTATCCTTTCTATTTCCTCTAAAATTTCCATCGTCTACTTTATTTACCCTTGTCAGCTACTGGGAAGCTGGTGAAAAATTGGAAGTCTTTCCATTCCTTCTGTGGTCGTTGAGTGATCCCCATTTTTTATGAAATCCTACAAAACTATGCTGTATCTAAATGGTAGCTTCCTTCTGAGGTTTGTGATAAGCACGGCTAATGGTCCCTCTGACCGTATACGGCCTATAGGCCTTAAATTAACATTTATCAAATACTAAACAGAATAAATTATCAAGCAGTATTTCAAACAGCTATAAGCTTTTGAATCCACATACGAAAAGAAATGTGTAGGTTCCCCTGAGTTGGATATTGTATAAATATCTGTGACTTGATAAATCTCTGGCAAAATCTTTTGTATGCTGAGATTTTAATTTGTCGAGTTTTTTCATTGTCGAGTTTTTCATTGTCTTGAGTTTCGAGTGTAATATAAAGCTTCGGACAGGAGCTTTTACGTCTTAAGAGTATGGTGTTTCTTCCATTGGGTGGGGTTGCTAGCCTCACGCCCAAGCTTCTTTCTTTACCAAACATACTACCGGCTAAGCCAGGTTTAATAGTGCGTCCGGGGGTCAATCAAACCCGCACTCCCAGCACTGTTGGTGAGCATTATGCGATTGAACCACCGACTCATAAGACCAGGGAGTAAGGGACAGCTGTTTCGTCCATGTTTGGAACTTTCCAGCAGTAGGCGTCTATGACGTTTAGAGCGAGATCGTATACCATTCAGTAACTGGAACAGCTTACCGAACAACTTACCAAAATGCCTGTTATAATTTTTGTGTGGAAGTTCATCCATTCTAGATTTTCTATCTCAAAATAGTAGGAGAAAATAAAAGAATAAAGACGTAATGACACAATAGTGAATATCTTTGCGTCGGGATATGAAGATAGCTGAATGAAGAATACCAAAATTATTCCGGATATTGAAAAAAGAGTAAACACATTGAGATCAACGCAGAAGACTTTTAGCTCTTATTTCAACCACTCAGAAATCTAGTTTTGAGATCTGAGACTTTGTTTAGATCTGTAGACAGATACTTAATTCACTCGTTTCTTGTTTTACTTTTAACAGCCTTAATGCTTTTCCAGCTTAATCCTACTATTTTTAGAAGAATTTATGCACGTACGTCTAAGTATAAAAATTCCACTATATCATATTTAGCACGTACTTTATGTGATAAAAATGGTGTCAGACATGAACTAACTAACCTTCTTTGCACTACTAAATAAACCATCTCTTTCACCTTTACAGTACCAAACTTTATTGTTATTGTATTTCTTATGTTTATAATCCCTCGATTTTTTGTTTTTATTTATTTATTTTTCATAAGTGTGAACATCGTTTAAGCTGTGTTACCACTGTTAATCTTGTATTTCCCCTCACTATACTATATCAACAGAACATTAGATTCAATAATTTATAACATGCTAAAGTTTCCAAACAGAATCGACAATACTGTGTGAAACAAACTCACTGTTATTATTATATTTAATGATCTCATTTCGTGCTTCGAATGTTTTTGACTTTATATTGTAAACGTGGACAAATTCCTCGGTTACTTTTGTTTTAATTTTATTTATATTTGAAGTGAATCAGAAGCAATATTGTGACAAATACTGAGAATTCCATTCTGTATTATAAGTACTGTTTTTGGAATAAAGTAAATTATTATTACTTTGAAAAGAATGATTAAACCGTTTTCCCAGCGAAATTAATGACTTTTTCACTCACATCTACTGACAAAAGCTCGAAATATCACAAATTATCGTACCTTTCTTGTCTTAGACTTCACTGAGTTGGTCGCTAGTCTCATGCCCAACCTTCTGTCCTTTCTTGCCTAGCTGCCGGCTGACAAACTAAGAGTCGGTCAGGAGCTGAAATCTGACTTCCTATCTGGTTGGCGACCATTTTATCACTGAAATCTGAAGCACACAAGTAATCGGTGGGAAAACCTGAACTTGAGCTTCACACGTGCTGACGTTAGTCAGCAAGGCATACCTACAGCCCCCAAGAATCTGATGTCCCGTTGATAATTCGAATCAGTGCCTCCTAGTGTTGCAGTGAGAGACCTTATCACCGAGCTAGTCGGACACAGATATTATAGTGCTAGTTATGAAATTCAAGGCACAGGCTAGAGAACCATAAACTTTACAAATCAGTTCTAAACAGAATAACATTTATCTTCTTCTGCATTTCCGCGTAGATCCAAAATTATTTCTTGTCATAGCTAAGTTATCGTTCAGCCATCACTACTGTGCTTCTTTGTGTCCTCTCTCTCCCACTCAAACTAGCAGACAGCCTTCTGCTGAGCATATGTGTACAGAGCTTAAGCCTTTGAAGTGTTATATTTGCTTTCATCGTGTTTTTATGAGTGATAAGTTCTTTATTTTAGTGATGATCACAATAGTTGTCTCGGAGGAAAAGTCACACACTATAGGATCCTAAACGAAAGAGCTCACCAGCAATATTGAAATAACCGATTGAGTTAATGAGATAAATTTGGATGAACAAAGAGAAGCGGATTTCGATATTAACACCGAGAGTCGTTCAGGATTTAAGGAAAGTATTTCATCTAGGCAGTGCTTGAGATTTATCCTAAACTGAAACTAAAATATCATTCCTAATAAAGCTCTAGTTTTACCTTAATTCTAACCTAAACCTGATCTAACCATAGTCTAAGTCTAAGTTATCTTCAGCTAGCCCTTAAAGATAGTGATTTAGATAAATATCGATACAGCCAAGAGGAACGGAGCTATCCTGTTTGGCATTTTTTTGTGATTTTTCTAAATATCTGACAAATTTACACGCTTCCATCCAAATTCGCCTTTTTAACAAAGTTAGTTCATTCGCACGCGATCTCATAGTTCAACCTTACCACCTTAAACAGGTCTACTTAAATAAATCAGTTATATCTAGGACCGTAGTTAAAAATATGAAAAATGAGATAAAATCTTCAGGCAGCTAATATGAACATTAGCAAGCCTTATGAAAGTGATAATTAAAGTCGACAGATTTCTACGAGCTCCCCAGAATTTTTAGAATCATATTGGTTCACTGCAGGCAGTGATTATCAAAGAAGTCTGTGTAAGGTTGTTATGTGTAACGTGACACACCAATTACATAATGTTTTGTTTTACATTTTTTTTGTATCTTCAAAAGCATTTCATTATAACTTTAGCACGCAATCATTTATACTTCTTCAGTTATTTTGGTGTCCGTATATTTCATTGGATATTTAATTTTTCCGCATAAATAACTATTTATCTAAATGTTCAGAATAACGGTTCTAAAGTTACTTGGAAGTATATTTCAGTTAAAGCAAACCAAAGAAGAATAAAACCACAACGGTATGATAGCCATCCATAAAACTGACGATTCTCAAGTGTTGGTTTACAGAGGTTTGATTGATTTCAAGTTTCATCGCTAACTAAAATCAGTTAAAGAACCACTTAAAACAATGGAGTATTGGGTAGTTGTTTTTTCCATATTCGAGATCCTTCATCAGTGTGAACACATAAGAACCTACTGGGTCACCCACCTAGTACCTTCAGATTACAAGGCAAACTCGTCGACTATTCAGTCTCTGGAACAGAATTCAATGAAATGTCAATTATAACTTTTGCCAGTTTACAACGTATAGCGCCACTTCCAGTCAATTTCGTCGGTGAGTATCTGTTTTTACACCTAACTTATTGGACGCTTGAAAGGTAATCTAGAGCTCATTCGTGACTTACCACAGGATGAAGTTGCATACAATTCTTGTGAGAAGTCGTGAGCAGAAGGGCATACCAAGGTGGGTGAGAGAACAGATATTCACCAATGACATCGGCTGTTGGTGGAGCTACACTTCGCAAACTGGCACAAGTTAGAAAGTATGTGGCAATGGATTCCGTACCAGAGACTGAATGGTCAACCAGCTCTGCTAGTAACCCGAAGGTCTTGGGTACATACTACTGAAATGTCTCAAAGAAGGATCATGAAATGGCTATTCAGTACTCCTGAGTTTTCAGTGATCCTTTAACTGAATTCAGATCTTGATTAGACTTGAAAGGCGTAACTCTAGTGACAACTGAAACCTATAACTGCAGATTTATCAATATATATATATATATATATATATATATATATATGTAGGGTTAACTGCAACAAAACTGATGCATTGCCATTATATTTTCATTTTTCTTCTACAGAATGCCGTATATCCATGTCTTTTCCTGACTGATTCAGTCGCCTGTTACTCCTAAAGTCAACTACTTCAAAGTAATCCCTTTCATCAGATGAATACAATGAAAATTAAAAATGGTTCATCCCACTGCTGTTGTACATATCAATCCAATGGTGGTAATACTAATCTGAGAAAACGTTGTAATGGTGGTGATAGCCTTCAGAAGTCATCTTTACTGAAAACATCAACTACAGCCGACAGTGATGTTGATGATGATGATGAGTCGACCACGACGAAACTACGTACAATCATTGATATTTATGTTCATTGTATGCTTTTAACTTGTGTTTGTATAATTATTTTTGTATCTTCACGACCATTAACAGAAGACTATCTGATTCGTTTAATATTTGGTGAATCATTGAATTATTGTAATTATACATATATCCCTTCGAAGAATAATTATCGTCGTCCGTATAAAGTGTATGATTGATGCTATTATTATTGTTATTACTATTATATTTTCTTTTTTTTCACATGTATGTATATTTTTAAGTTATATTCGTCTTTCCGCCTATTCACATATCTTCATATTCTGTTCCACCTTTTCTGTAGTGTAAAAAGTTAACAGCAACACCAAGACAGGAGTATTTTTCTACAAAATTTTGATAACCACACTAAAACCTTTATATGTCTGTCTTTCTGTCTGTCTGGATTCAACATAGAACTTGGCACCGAAGTTCAGCAGTTCGAGTTGCCACGTTCCAAATAACACACAGAGGTAGACAAGAAGATGAGTGAAGAGAATCAATACAGTCTGACAAGTATAAGAGTGAAACAGAATGGGTAATGGTAGAAAGGAATATGAAAGATTACAGAGACTGAATACATCTGCGCTGGCCATTGACAACGATTTTGAGCCATGTCACCTATTGTCTCCAGCCATTGATTCCTAGAGTCCCGAGGGCCCCAACCCGGGAGTCTGCATCTCCCTACCTGACTCAGTTTAACTGTCAAGGATTTCATGGATTGATGAGGCCATGTTTTTGTTTGGCCACCACTGGCTCTTTTCCAACCTGCACCTATATCGGCTAGCAATACCCGTCGGGGGAGGCGATGTTTAGGCATGCGCAGCACGTGACCTAGCCTTCTTAGTCTATGTGACTTTATAGCCTCGTCGATTGATTTTCCCTCTTTGCCCAACACTCTACGCCTAACGTCAACATTACTTACCTTATTAAACACCACCCAACGTGAGACAGAGATCGCAGACATCTATGATCGAAAACAGTCAACATTTTCATGTCTTCAACGCGTATTGGCCATGTTTCAGAGCCATATAGAAGGACTGAGCGAACTGCTGATAACCGGATGTCACGCCTACGCCAGAGATGGTGTAAGTCAGCGAAAGCAGCTCGAGCCTTTCGGATCCGTGCTGAGATTTCATCGCCAATCAGTCCGTTGGTGCTAATACAACTTCCCAAGTAGGTGAAGTGGTCAACATGTTCTATCACTTCACTCCCTATCACTAAGTTAGGAGTTGACGTGGTCCAGTCCTGTAGCAGCATCTTACATTTTGTAGGGGCGAATCGCATGCCAAACATACGGAGATTGCTGCTCAAGGTGTTCAGAAGACTCCGCTCTATTTTGTCATCATCCTCCCCTAACAGGACTATGTCATCTGCATATTCTAAGTCCATAAGACTATTCCCTGGTAACAAGTCGATTCCTAAGTCATTACGTTCAGTTAAGGATACTTCCATCAGCAAATCTATGATGAAGTTAAACAGAAATGGGGAAAGTGGACATCCCTGTCGGACACCACTGGTTGTTACCAATTCAGATGACAATTCTCCATAAGCCCTTACATGGCTACATGAGTTTGAAACCTTTATATGTATGTATGTATGTATGCATGTATGCAGCCGTGCATTGATTTTTATTTAAGTTTTGTAATTGTTTATTTTCTTGACCTCAGCAGACAAATACATCATTCAAAGGATCACTTTTCAATATAGATCATTGTACATGTCTTTTATTAACATTATTACTAATTCCTGGGGTTCGGAATGGAACACATAGCTCCAACAGTATATCTCGACTTCATCTTGTCCTCTGAAGTACTCTTTAGTTGGTAACACAATTCTTTATAAGCTTTCATCTCCTTTTCACACGATCTCCTACATGCCACAATTGACCTGACACCCGACCTACCGTTTTTCATTCAGATTTCACTCGAGGGCCTGCTTGGCGGTTTGATGTTACTCATCCACTCCCTCAGTGTGTAGCTGTCTCCTTTTGCATATTTGTTGTGCTTATTCATAGCTAACATGTAGTAAATAGTTCTCAGTGTACTTAATTACATAATATTTGCTCTTCATACCGGATCTCCAAGTAAAATGGTATTCGACAGTGCATTGTGAGACGCTATATTATTTCATCTGAAGCAATATGCGATCCTCTACAAAAATTTTAAAATTTATTTCCATTGAGAAGTGCTTTGTAATACGCTGACACCAGACTTAAAAATGTGCGCAAGATAATGTAACTCCCAAAAATAAAATTAAACGGTTAAAACAGTAAGAAATTGATAAAAAAAGTTTGTGCATTGTTATTATTTTGTTACTATTGACCCCTTTAGTTTCTAGAGGAACGCAGGGCTTCAGACGTACATCTCCATTGTGTTCGATTTTCCGCCATCGTTTTCACCTGGCTCCACGTCTACCCATATGCTTTCATCTCCTCTTCACATGACCTCCTCCATGTCACCCTTGAACTGATGACCAACTCGCCACCTGGCGTGTGATGTCACTTACTTGATGGTTTCTCAAAGTATGACCAATCCACCTCCATTTTTCCTGCATATATGTTCCTGCTGTGTTGGTTCGTCCCCTCCTTGGTGCTGATCTTTTCTAGCTATCCATCTGATCTTGAGTAGTATTAAGCAAAAAAGTTGTTGATGAAAGTCTGTAGTTTGTTCGAAGTGCCCTTCATGACGCGGAGCTAATTTTCTGATCCGTATGTTAGCACTGACTTCAGATTTGAGCTGAAAATCAGGATCTTATTCTTCATGCTGAGTGCTGTTGACCTCCACACAGACTTGAGAGTAATGAAAGCTTGCTTTGCTTTCCCGATCTTCGCCTTGATATCCTCGTCAGTTCTGTCAGCCTGTGGTTGAAATGATGCTTCCCAGGTAGGTAGGTGGTAAAGGAGGTTGCTTCTTTCAAATTTCCCCCATCCATTTATGTATTTTACTGGGCAGAAATTTAAGCAGCCAGTTGATTTAAGAAGGCCGTCTGGTATATGGAGTATTAATCGTACCTCATGTGCTGGCTGTCAGGATTCAAACCATATGGCTTCAGGATTATATTCATAGAAGTTTGATAATTGAAGACTATCTCATCCGGTCCCATCATAACTTGCATGATTCTCCTATTGATTCAACACTATGCTTGATGATGTGCAGGCTGAGAACTGTTCTCTTCAGATTAGATTAAACCCTACGAAAAACAACTCAGAAAATATTCGAACAGTCTACCAATGCCGTTTTGGATGCTACTCACTTTATCAAAGTAATAATAAACTCGGATTCACAAAACCCTGGCTGTTACATATGATGCTTCAATCTTTGTTCTTTTGTGTTATCGCGTAAATGAATTGATAATGATACCAACACACGTACAGACTGTTGCATTCCATAAATGTATGAACTCTGTTTATGCAGTGAACAAAGTATTAATCGCACGTGTATTTAAGACTGTAAGTCTGTGGAAAGGGAATGATAGATCCAGGCTGAATCTAATCCTACCCCGACGATCCTGTTTAGACAGCTGTTCACGTTCATTGCTTCTGCTATGATATGATCCTTATATGTTCGTTTCCAGCGGATAATTATTTATTTTAAGAGTGACTTTGTAAATACTGAAATCGTTCAGAAATCAAAACGACCTTAAAAGCCACAAAGATAGTTTCATAATTAAGTAAAAATAGAATTGTTTTAATGGAATTTTGAGGCATACAAATAAGGTTGGAGAAGATTTGTAACTCATTTGGACAACTTTGATTCGATTGTATTCTCCGATGTATTAATAAATAGATAAAATCTGCTAACTAACAAAAAATAAGTCATAAATGACAAGAAAATCAAATTCCAAGTCTTAAAAGTGATTAATCAATATGACTGCAAATTAACAACCAATGTATACTAAGGCTGTCAAGAGAAAAGTTATATCTTTCATGCAGAATTCATTAATTTCGCTTTATAATGGAGTCTTACTGCATATCTTGTCCAGAAAGACAATGCAATGCTCAGTAATTAAACCGTGCGTATGTCGGTGGCACAGTGGTAGAATACTCGCCGGACAGGGATGTGTGTGGTCCAGGGTTCAATCCCCGGCCGACGCACTCCCAAACCTCGCTAAGCCAATAATAAGAGTAGTAAAGAGCCAAGGCCGTGTATGAGACTAGCAACCACATCTCGTAAAAAACAAACATCACTGCTACCGAAACTTCCATCCTCTAGCTTGAAGCCCTATGTTCCACTGGGAGTGTAGAGGAATAGAATAATAATAAATAATACACAAAGCTCTTAGCATTAGAATAGGCAAAATATCAGTTAAGACAAAGAATTTACTCTATCTTTCGTCTACTGGCAGCTTGCTTAAATCACTGGGCTACCTATATTTTCTGTTCACCTAAATGCATCCTGTTAGCTTCATTTCACATTGATTTAATCACTGAATTGTGCGTCGGTAGCACAGTGGTTAGAACTCTCGCCGACCATGAACATGGTCCGGGGTTCGATCTCCTGCTGACGCACACCTGATATCTATTGTCGGCCTGCAAAATTTGGGCTACCAATATCACATGCTGAAAATTCCATACTTGTAGCAAAAATACGGTATGGAATCAAGCTACAAGCTACAATCTTTGATTGCTGCATTAATCCCCTTCTTAATTTTTATCTAATATGCACTTTACTATCAAATTTGTACATTTTATCACTTAGACATGCTTTTGAACCGTAATTCTATTGATCTTAATAAATCGATATTATTTGAGGAAAACAACAGTGTTGTAAATAAATATTATGCGCCTACATGACGAAGAAGTTATTGGAAGGAATATTCTTTGCTCAGTCTTCTTTTTGTCTTTCAAAGCGCTTCATTTTGTCTTTTTTTTGAATCTCGACAGTTTTCTTCAAATCACTGAATCTGAACTTCGCTAAGATAATTTCATAAATTGATTTTTTAAATGCAATAAGCAAGTTATTTTTTGAGTTACTGACAGATTTTCATCTGGCAGTAGACTCCAGTCACTGATAGGAACAGTAGATTATTTCAGTATTTCATTTGTCTTCATATGGAACAGAATTTTTGCTTTAAGTTAATGCGAATTTCCTCATAATTAATTAGCTTGAACCAAAGTGCTCCGTCCATTGACAGCTCAGCTGTTTGTGTGAATGTTTCAGTGATGTCTGATATGTTATTTTCCTTTCTGATACATGGATTTTGTTTTGGTAATCACTTACTCACGTCTAGTATATAAACCTTTCATGGTAAATAACGTCGGTTAAAAGTAGCAACATCACCAAAATGATCAATAATCTCGGTGTGATGGTTTGTAGGGATTTGAGTGATTTCAGTGATTACATCACTAACTGACTCAAGTTAGAGAATTATTGCAAGCCAGGGAGTACTTAACGACTGTTTCGCCCTAGTTTTGAACTCTTCTCATCATCACTCTGCGGGGGTTCGAACCCAGGTGCCAGTTAACTGTTCAACCACTGCCCTATGAATTTTAACTCTTGACAGTCACCAGCTAGTGTTGGCGACAAGTACCTAACCTCCCAAATGGAGTGGAGGACCTTACTTGTCACAGTTTCTCTCTATAACCATAAGCAACTTCATTTTGGAGCCAGTCATTCAGATGAGAATCTGGTAGGAACAAGACCATTATTCCTGAAGGTGTTGTTGAGAATCAGAAGGTACATTATGGCAATAGACGATATAAAATTTTCAATTCGAAACCTGTGGAAAGTACATATTTTTCCTAATAATAAAATTAACTGGTAATAAGTTAATCCCATCGAGGAAAGATGTAAGTACAGCATAAGTATTTTTGCTGTATATCACACTTTACCTAATATTATAATGATAAGTAATACTGAGGATCGGAGTAGAGTTTTAAGTGAGGATGGAAAGTTAATCGGTGAGGTTGTAAGGCTATAACGATTGAGACAGATTATTCATCAAGCATGCTGAGTTACCGCCTTCCTTGTCGTGCAATGTAAGCTGACATAGGATTAGGTTGGAAAGCGGTAGAGAACTATCAAATCAAAAGCTAGGATCAATCCATGAAGTCTTTGAGCCAATCACACAGGGAGGTGTAGACTGCCTGACTAGTGTTCTCAAGGCACTAATAAGCTATGGCTGACAGTTATTGGTGATATGGCTTAAAATCGATCTAGATAGTGCAGATGAATTAAGTCTTTATTGATCTCCTAGACATTTTAGTCCTCGTTATTCTCCATGTAATCATTCTCCCTCTCTCATTCATTCGCTTTTATTATAGTTTTTTTGAACTTCGTTTTACTTCCTTTATCTTTGTGTGTAGTTTCATGAAGTGTTACTTTTTTGTACAATGTTCTACGTTGTAAAGTCAGCCAACCAGTCAGTTGTAATTCAGATGGGATGAGAAAAGAGTCACACACACACAGTTTCATCAAATATCAGACATCGAAGCTTATTTCATAATTACAAATAAGTTTTGATTCATCCGAAAGAATTAAGTATTATGTAACAATTTGACTAGAGTTGTTAGAAGACAAAGATTATCCAAAAAATATGTTGTATTCGGTGTAGGACATCTTGACTAATCTGATCTGATATCTGCTTGTTAATTAAATAACTCACATGAAATTGGGAAAATGGAAGGTTAGAGATTAAGATAAACATAATAGCACTAATCAGATTGTGGATATTTTTAGCCATCTAGATTAGTTTCACGAACCAACATCAGTAAGAGATCATGGAAAACTAGCGAGTACTCGACAATTGTTTCATCCTACTTTTGGACACTTAATTTGAGTATAAATCTCCAGCTCATTGACAGTTACTGGATGG